AAAGGTGTTGACGAATCCAGAAGATTAGGATTTGAGAGAACACAAAGAGTGGATGTACTTGCGCCATTGCAAACCATTTTGAGCCATGTCGTTCAAGGTCTCTAACCATTGGTCACTATCGTCTCGCGGACCCCAAACCAGGTAGTCTACATCTACCAACATTACTCAGTACAGTCGTTAGTGACTTCATTGATTTGTGCCATGTTTTGGTCTGGCCGCCCCTAACTTTCTCCAAACCTACTCCTACAGACTGGAAGAAAATTGACTGTTTGATATCACTTGGTTAGATAGAGACCTTGAATGACATGGCTCAAAACCGTTTGCAATGGTGCAGGTGCATTCATTCTTTGTGTTCTCTTAAATCATAACTTTCTGAATTCCTCATCACTATGGGATTTGAATTGACAGTTGCATCTCTGTGCTAATATGGTATGGCAACTTCAACTGATATACGTACGTACGTACAAAGTTCTACGTTGCTGTTGATTGTTTAATATAACTAAGTACCTTAGTATCTCAGTTTAAAAATTCGACAATAAAAGCAACAAATCAACTCTTCGTTGAGACTCATTTATTGAACATTTTAATTCCATGTCAGTCAGTTACAACGTAGAAATTCGTACGTACATACATCAGTTCAGGTTGCCATACCGCATTAGCACAAAGACACAACTTGTCAGTTCAAATCTCATAGCGGTGGAGATATTTTAATTTGATGTAAGAAAGATTTGTTAGTGGGTGAAGTTTACCAATCTGCGGAACTATTCTTGAATGTACTTAGACAGTAATTTTGACCAGCTTAATACCATACATCTTAATACTTCACAACCAATAAATCCTGTTTAACATAACGAAGAAGCATTTTACACAGTTTGCTAACAAAATACGATAATTAGATAATATCATCAATGAATCATGGTTAGACCACTATCAGAAATCTGGAAGTGCTGGACAGTGGTTTCGTCCTGGTATAGGACTACTCATCAGTAGTGCTCATCCATGACTCCTGCATCTCACAGGATTCGAACCCAGGACCTTCGGCCTTGCGCGCGAACGCCTAACTCTGATCAATAAGTGGTCTAAGAATGAATGACTGACGATTTCAATGTGCAAAAAACACTAATCTCCATAAATCTAATTGAAAAATTATATAACACTCAGGCAATGGCATAGTCAAAATAAACCATTTCATATGTTATCACTCTGATATTCCTTTTCCATTAGGATGATTTTAACCTAAATGTTTTATATCTGTGTGCTAAAATGTTTGTTAAGAGGTTCAGCTACTATAATCAACCATTGAGTAAATTGATACTTTTTTTCTTGCTTGTGTTTGCCTGTTATTTTTGTTAATTAAAAAAATAAATAGCTGAGATGGTGAACAAGTACGGAATTGATTTTTTTTCTCCAATCACATCCTAAGTAGATGTTATCACATGACTGAGTCTATTAATGATATTTGTTGGTTATAGACGCTTAACTATGTGATATTGTAAATATATTTGCAGCTCAGGTGAATGATTGTTGTACTGTTTCGTTCTCTGAGCTGGATGTTTCGGTTGTGGAGCTTTCGTTGTTCTTCTGAACAACATCATCAACACAGACTTCGGATAGAAGAAGTGAAGTATTCGAATTTTTTCCACGTTTGACTTGCTACTTATTCTGTCAACCTCGATCTTGATTGATCGCTGTTGATCTTAAATCTGTCGTTGTTTACACCTTTGTTTTAATTGTATCCCCCGTTTGCTCTGTTTCTTGATCCTATGTCGCCTATGATTTTTTTGATTGGTTGATAAATTGGGTCAACTGACTTCAATTAAATCTTTATTTATCATTTCCGTGTTCTTCATTACTAAGCCAGTTAAGGATTCAGTAGACATAACCAGTTAATGCTAACAAAAGGTTATCTTACTAATGGCAACATACTAAGATTATCAACACAAGAATGAACGTTCTAATATAATACAATTAGAAATTGGTTTATTTAATAAAAACCATTTAATTTGAGAACAAACTATCTAAAATGAAACGAAATTTTACTTACACAACGATATCGTTCCAAATCGATTTTTGCTCGACGTAAACGTTCCCAACCAAAGTGTTTAGTGCATTTATTACGTGGTACACAACAAAATTCACCTGTTTCTTCGAATACATTACGAACAAGCGGTGATCCGCATACAGTATCAGCTGGTAGTTTTGGTTCTTTATAATGTTCACACACTACACGTAATCGTTTACAATATGCTCTAGCTTGTGAATCATATGCATCACAAAATAATGGTGTACCCATAATTTGTTCTTTTTGATTAGCACAGAACACTGTATTGCCTTCCATCTGAAATAATAGATTTTTTGTGGAAAAAAAAAACATATTCATGAAAATGATGTATATTTTTAAAATAAAAATATGCAAATATACGGGACATACACTGAGAAAAGCATCAAACTGCGTCACAAGACAAGCCTTCACATGAAACCTTCAAGGCAAAAGGAGAATAGGAGGTCCAAGGAACACATTACACCGAGAAATGCACACAGACATGAGAAGAATGAACAAAAACTGGAAAGAACTAGAAAGTGAAGCTAAGGACAGAGTTGGTTGGAGAAAACTAGTGAGCGGCCTATACTTCAATGTAAAAAAACACAAACCTCCAAAGCTCTACCTCAAAAAATATCGTAACAGTGTTCACTAGTGACTAGCTTCGAGAGGAAATTCTCGGAGTTCTAGTTGAGAAGACGTGACCAATGGAGTTCAACCCTGTCGGGTGTAGGTAGGCAGTAACTACCAAAGACAAATGGGTGAGGTCGCGCAAAATCCCTAGATCAATCAGAGTTAGACATTAACACCGTTGGATGCCGGTCCAGTGGTCCGATGGTTAGGCGTTCGCGCACAATACCGAAGGTCCCGGGTTCAAATCCTGCGAGGTGCAGCATGAGTCGTGAGTGCGCACTGCTGATGAGTCCCATAGCAGGACGAAACGGCCGTCCAGTGCTTCCAGGTTTCTAACGGTGATCTAACACTGATTGATTGATGATTTCAAATGTGAAAAAACACAAACCTCCAGAGCTCTACCTGAAAAAAAGTCAGTAAGTAAGTAAGTAATACAGACAAAATAGTGGTGAATTATTGGAACTCACCTTTTGAAAACATTTCTCCATATGTTTCAAAGCATGTCGCATACTAATTTCAGCTGAACATGTAACACATATAATAGGTTCCATTTGTTCCACTTGTTCAGCGTCATCAGCAACTGCAGCAAGCTTAATAATGATGATAACACAATGAAAAGATTATAAAAATATGGACTAATACATTTGACGACAAAGAAGAATCGACTTTGTTGTTACAAAACAAGAGAGTTTTAATAAAGATAATACAGATTTGTAATTTGTATTATCTACAATAACTTTAAATATGACAATAGTATTCAATTGTCTTCAGTGGTTAATCAACTGAAATTATTTGTGAACAGATATTAAGTATTAAAATGAACACGAATAAAAGTTCGTTTGGAACTTCTACTTTAGAATCGAGAGAAAAAAGTCTGCATGTTGTCATTTACTTATAGACAACGTAAGACCACAATGGGATTTGAACTGACAATTGCGTCTCTGTGCTAATACGGTATGGTAACCTGAACTGATGAACGTACGTACTAAGTTCTGTCTGTCTGTAGAGCAGAACAACTTATTTAACACTAGTGCATTCAGAGAGAACTAATCAGTCAGTCAGTCAGATGCAACGTAGAACTTCGTACGTAAGTACATCAGTTCAGGTTGCCATACCACAAGTGTTGAAGAATCCAGAAGATTAGGATTTGAGAGAACACAAAGAGTGGATGCACCTGCGCCATTGCAAACGATTTTGAGCCATTGTAGTGGTGATGTTTGGTTCTCTGAGCTGGATTTTTCGGTTGTGGAGCTTTCATTGTTCTTCTGAACAACATCATCAGCACAAACTTCAGATAGATTTTGAGCCATATCGTTCAAGGTCTCTAACCTTCGGTTACTATCGTCTCGCGGACCCCAACCAGATAGCCTACATCTACCAACATGACTCAGTCCACTTGTCAATGAGTTCATGGATTTCTGCCATGTTTTGGTTTGGCCGCCCCTGGCTTTCTTCCGACCTGCTCCTACACTACAAAACATAGCTCGTTGAGGCAGTCGATGGTCGGGTATTAGTAACACATGTCCCAACCACCTCAACTAGTGGAATTTCAATACTTCGTCTATTGATTTGCCACCTTCACCTAGTACTCGTTTCCTAATGGCAGCATCGCTCACTCGGTTGTCTCACGATACACGAACAATGCTTCTAAGACATCTGTGATCGAATACTAGTAACCCACGAATATCTTCTACTCTTACCAGCCATGTTTCGCATCCATATAGGAGAGAGAGAGAACTAATCAATAAGATGGAAAGCAAGAGTGAAGATAATACACTGGTACGAAAAGAGAATGTATGCATATCACTAAATCAGATATTGTTTAACTATTTTAAAACAAAACTACCATTTGTTCATTATTTCGTCCGGTTCTTCGTTCCTGTGCCCGATTGATAAGTCCTGTAAGCTTTTGATGCTCTAATTCTAATTCAACCAATCGATTGTGTACTATGCATTGTTCTTTACTAATCTCTTCAAGACGTAATTTATCAATAATAGTAGCCATAGAATCCGGTAGTCTTTCTAATGTAGAAATAGGCTTTCCACATTTTGTAAACAAATCAGGATACCATGTATGAAAACTTTCTGGTAGTAGAATTTCTAAGCGCCTACAAAAAAAAAGAGAAAATTTGTAGTCTATTAGTCTTAAAAAACTCGACAAATATGTGGTCTGAGGTCAAAAGAAGCCTCATTTTAGAAAATTTCACTATTTCAACCTTATTCCCATTAAAATATTCGTCATCTATCTCATGTCTGTATTAAGCACTTTAGATATCTCGTGTAATCGTCTACATATCATCTAAATGCTGGCCTTGAATAATACTATTTTGCATTTCAGGCACAAACAAAAGATGTAAGCCACTAAGTTTTTCTTAACTGCTGGTAACGTGTAAGCAACTTGACGAGATATTCCATACAGAAATTCCCAATATTTAAGGGTAGGTAGTAAACGTACGATCGGAAAGCATAAGAGTTTAAAATATTTTTATCAGTAAGAGAACTCGATAGTTGTTCGTAACTAACAATGTTAGTATCTCAGTTCGCGTATTGTTTGGACAGAGATTATATAACGAGATATCAACGATGAAATAAATGAGTTTTATGTCACAGAAAATGTTTTACTTGCCGAATATCGACCCATGAACAGATTGTTCAAATCAGAAAAACGAGTTCAAGATCCAGTTTAGGTAGTGTATGTCTATTCAGCTGTTATGCGATAGATAACACTTAGTATACTGAAATGCATATAACCATTACATTTCAACTTTACCGATTGTAGTAATATAGGTTTATACACTAAGATTACAATTAGCGACAGTTGAGTCAGGATTAGTAAAAACACTACGTCACGGAAAATTTTGAAAGGAGCTTTACAGGATTTCAGCCAGTATTTACACAGTTTACACTTCTGAGTACCTTATGTATTATGAAATGGTTCTGTATCAGAGTCTATAAAAGAAGCAATAAATTAGGCAACACAACAGTCAGTCAGTCAGTCTAGAACGGGGTTTCAAGAGACCAAGAATGACGTTTCATGAACTCGCTTCGTCTGCATTAGCGGTGCAGTCAGATAAGGGAATGTGGGTAGAGTTAGTTGTGGAGAGAAGAGAGGCATGTGTGGGTGTAGGAAGTATTTGATTTCGACCAATTCGGTCTCGTGTGCTATTACGGGTATGAGGGCTGTTGTCACTTCCCGGCTGCCCACACCGTGCCAACACAACACTTTTATAAGCTATTGGCTAATAATTTAAATAGGGACCTACGGTAAACATTTTATATGGGATTTTCTTGTTTGATTACTTAAAAAAATTTACAAATCATTAGAGATTTAAAACTTCGATTCATAAAACAAAAAAACATTTCATAAATGATGAACAAGGCACAGATAAACTACAAACTTGATAGCAAGTTTAAGTCCACATTCATTTGAACAATATTTTGTATCTGGTCTTGCAGCAGCTCGAGTACAACCAGGACCAAAGCATTGTCGAGGTTTTTTCAATTCATCAGGCAATAATGAATCAAATACTTTTCGCGGATTATTATTATTATTATTTATCTGTGATTTGTCAACTCGACGTGTAGCAGCAGCAGCAGCAGCAACCTTACGACTAGATGATGTATGCACAGTTCTAGCATTTCTACTTTGATAACGATTCACAGTTCTAGGACGAGCACCAGATTTGGAAGATTTATTAGATGAAACAATACGATTACTTCCTGGATTGTAAGTTGTCCCTGATAAATTGTTGCCGATTCTACGCTGAGAACGATCTCCATGTGAACTTTTACGATGTGAAGAATTGCAACTATTTCCAATTTTACGTGAACCAGTGATTTGTGTTCGAGAAGTACGACTAGAACGCTAAAAAAAAAAATGATAATTCACGGTAAACATTAAAAATTTGAGATGAAAAGCCTATTTGAAATAATTTTTATTGAGGTGATTAAAGATAACCATTTTGTCAATTGAGGAAAAGTGTAATTAGTTACAGCTGATAATGTCCAAGTATACTAACAAATAACACATAATATATATTTAAACACAGTTATTGATAGAAAGTGGCACCTAGATATTTATGCACCACACATGAATGAATTTATTTTGACGATGGGATACTCTCCAGGTGCCCAAACTGAAACAAGCGGTTTCCTCAGAAAGCCGTTCCCCGAGCCCTCCACCTACACGTCTAATCTACAAGGCGATAGAGAAACATCGGGAGAGGAAGATCCATTATAGCTATTCGCTACCATACTCAGGATCTTGGATCCCATGTGTACCAACGGTTCAGAATCAGGGTTTTCCAACTCTACTACGCGATTCTCTGCAACCAACAAACGGGTCTGAGCGTCGGATGTTTGCATTTCATCCTCTCAATTCCGCAGACACATCGTTTCGAGAAGATAGTGGGTAGGACTTCCCTCACAGTGGCTATATACGTGTAAGCCATATGAGATCATTCAGGTGATATCTTGGCCATACCATGGCATTCGGAGACAAACAATCGATATTGCAAGTGATTATTCCAATCAGATTTACAAACCAGTAATCAAAGCATCAACAATTATGAAGCGAAAAAACACGAAACTGTGGAAAGATGCCAGCATACATTTTTGGCGATAATAGTTCCCTTTGTTTACTAAAGCGAATGATAAATATCTCAATCGTCCTAGTCCCGGCCGAAGCTGCTACCTTGACGTGGTGGTCGGGCTTGCCTATCGTGATGACCCAACCGAGCTATACTGGCTGGAACATATGTTCCTGCAGGTCCTACCATGCCAGGCAGGTCGATTGGAGAACGATGAGACTAAAAGCAGCTACCCAAGGTCTGAGGGCGAAGTCGTACTGCTGACTGCAGAGGGGTGTGACAGCAGCAAGGTGTTTCCCTCGGACAACCAGCATCTGCAGCGATGCTGCTGCTGCTCACAAGGAAGTAAGGGTTAGAAAAGGTCGGCCCTAAAAATGTCACACCTCACCCTACCTCACGGATTTCCGTCTCCGTCGGTAAGGGTGCCCACTAAGGGCCTTTAAGAACGGAGCTAATCCTCATAAAACATTTCATAAAAAGGCCGTGCGTGACCGGCCTCAAGCAGTTGTCCCTTGGGCTCTGCGGTCACGCACCAACACTAATCTATCTTCTTTTTCAGGTTCCTCAAGAAACAACCTTCCACGGTGTGGGCAGCCGGGAAGTGACAACCGCCCTCATACCCATAACAGCACCAGAGACCGAATTGGTCAAAATCAAACCCTTCCTACACCCCCTAGTACCTCTCTTATCTCCACGACTAACTCTTCTCACATTCATTCATCACAGTGTACAGCTAATGCAGACGATACGAGTTCGCGAAACGTCGTTCCTGGTCTCCTTAAACCTCGCTCTAGACTACATGTTGGAGCATTTAATGTACGGACATTGTGTCAAATAGGGCAACAGGCTTCCTTAGCTAGGACTTTAGAATCTCGTGCCATCGATGTATGCTGCGTCTCGGAAACGCGCATACAGGATCCGAGTCACGTCATACACTTGACCACACCATGTCAAAATAAAGAAGCAGCTCGATTTACTCTTCGTGTATCCGGTAGCCCTGATGCTGCTTCCCGGGGTCTTGCTGGTGTAGGCATAGCATTGAGTCGTAGGGCAGAATTATCTCTCCTTGACTGGATCCCTGTAGATAGTCGATTGTGCGCTGTCCGACTAAACGGGACAGTAAGGACTCGGAAAGATAGGGACAATCGCCGTTGCCTCTTCGTCGTATCTGCCTATGCCCCCACTGAATGCAGTTCAGACGAGATTAAGGATGAGTTTTACAGAAAGCTTTCGGACCTCCTCCAAAAAGCTAGGCGCTCTGATATAGTAATAATGGCTGGTGACTTTAATGCTCAAGTGGGTAGACTAAGTGAGCAGGAGAGACACCTAGGTGGATGTTATGGTGTCCCGGCTCAGAGAACAGACAATGGTGACCGTCTGTTGCAAATATGCTCAGACAACCGCCTATTCTTAGCAAACACTAACTTTAGGCATAAGGAAAAGCATCTGCTGACCTGGCGACCTCCAAAGTCGTCTCAACGTTGGACTCAACTAGATCACATTGCCATCAGCCACCGATGGAGGGGTTCGATAGAGGACTGTCGCTCGTTCTGGAGCACATGTCTAGATTCAGATCATGCCCTAGTGCGAGCGCGTATTTGTTTGAAGCTTACTGGGCGTAGGAAAGACACCGTAAGAAAGCCTCTTAGGGTTTTACTTAATGATAATAAGGCGAAAAATATATTTCAGGAACAACTAGAAAGACAGTTAGGCGACCAATTAAGCGATTCCCATCCGGAAGCAGGATGGAATGATATCAAAAAGGCTGTGGAAACAGCAGTGATATCTGCTAGTAAGGTTGACCATAAGGCTAGAATGAAACCGTGGATCTCAGTAGCATCCACCGATCTGATGGATGCCCGAAAACTCATCCCACCTGGCTCTGAACATGATGAAGAACGAAGTCAACTTAGGCGCAGACTTATAAAAAGCCTACGTAACGATCGCGAACAGTGGTGGGTGGCGAAAGCAAAAGCGATGGAAAAGGCAGCGGCGATAGGCAACAGTAGACAACTTTTCCGACTTATCAAGGAAACTGGTATTAGGAATCCTAGTGTAAGCGAGACTATCTCAGAAAATGACGGGACTATTATTTATTCTCAATCCAGGAGACTGAATCGATGGGCAGAACACTTTAGAGATCAGTTCAACTGGCCTCGAGCCACTCTTCGGTTACCCACGATCTCCAGTCATCCTGAATGGCAAATCGACGTAAGTCCCCCTAGTCTTAATGAAGTTGAAAAAGCTTTAGGAAATCTGAAGCGAGGACGAGCTGCAGGTCCTGATAGACTGACCCCTGAGATATTTAAGGATGGTGGTCCAGTTTTAGCAGCTAGGTTGACTGAGATCTTAGGTAGAATCTGGGAACTGGACGTAATCCCATCCGACTGGTCTCAATCACTGATTGTCCCAATCTATAAGAAAGGACAAAAGTCTTCTTGTGACAATCACAGGGGAATAAGTCTAACTAATATAGTATCTAAAATATTGGCCTCAATAATACTTCGACGCTTAACGAAAGCTCGTGAAGAGCAGACTCGAGAAAACCAGGCTGGTTTTCGACCTGGACGTGGCTGTATAGACCACATTTTCACACTACGACAGGTCTTGGAACACAGACACACATTTAGGCGTCCTACAATAGTTGTTTTCCTGGACCTTAAGGCGGCATTTGACTCAGTGGATCGTGAGGTTCTGTGGCAGTGTCTGTCATTGAAAGGTGTACCACAGAAGTACATTAACCTCATACAAGCTCTCTACTCAAACACCACTGGTCGAGTGAGAGCTTATGGCGAACTGTCACCGGAATTCTCTACTTCAAGTGGTGTCCGTCAGGGATGTCCACTCTCTCCATTCTTGTTTAATTTTATCATAGACATGCTCCTAGAAATAACCTTATCCTCGTCTGAATTTTCTGGAGTAGACCTTTTACCAGGTTGCTCGCTTATTGACTTAGAATATGCCGATGACATAGTCCTACTTGGTGAAGACGCTGACAAAATGCAGAGTCTTCTGACTACCCTAAGCAACAATGCAAGCATGTTCGGGATGCGGTTTTCCCCCTCGAAATGCAAAATGTTGCTTCAAGATTGGGTTGCAACGGCACCTGAACTAGTGATAGGGAGTGAAGTAGTCGAACGTGTAGACCGCTTCACTTATCTTGGGAGTCTCATCAGTGCCAATGGTCTGGTGACTGACGAAATCTCAGCTCGGATACAGAAGGCTCGATTGGCTTTTGCCAACCTGCGTCACTTATGGCGAAGGTGAGATATCCGTTTGCTGAGTAAAGGACGAGTGTACTGGGCAGTGGTTTGCTCCGTCTTACTTTATGGCTGTGAAACATGGCCAATGAGAGTAGAAGATACTCGTCGGTTATTGGTTTTCGATCATAGATGTCTTCGAAGCATTGCTCGTATATCGTGGGACACTCGAGTGAGCAACGCTGTTATTAGGAATCGGGTGCTAGGTAAGAATGGCAGACCAATCGATGAAGTGGTGAAACTTCATCAGTTGAGGTGGTTGGGACACGTGTTGCGTATGCCTAACCAGCGACTCCCTCGTCGAGCTTTGTTTTGTAGTGTAGGAATAGGTTGGAAGAAAGCTAGGGGCGGCCAGACCAAAACATGGCAGAAATCCATGAAGTCATTGACTAGTGGATTTAGCCATGTCGGTAATTGTCGACTACCTGGTTGGGGTCCGCGAGATGATAATAATCGATGGCTAGAGACCTTGAATGACATGGCTCAAAATCGTTCGCAATGGTGCCAGTGCATTTATTCTTTGTGTTCTCTCAAATCCTAATCTTCTGGATTCTTCAACACCTCTAGTTTTTACTTTCTAAACTTATCTCATTTAATCATACTTCATGAATAATATCTTCTAATCCTAACCTCTCCGATTACTTCTAATACCTTTACTACCTCTTCTACTATTGGATTTGAATTGACAATTATATCTCTGTGTTGATGTGGTATGGCGACATGAACTGATGTACTTACGTACGAAGTTCTACGTCGCATCTGACTGACTGAAGACCTATTTTACCAAATACACTTAAGATCAAACTAAGGATCTAATAACAATGAAGTTACAGAAATAAATAACTGAAATTAACCTACTTTTTTATCATAATCAGAAGCAACCCAGTCTTCATCTTCATCATCGTCATCGTCATCAAGATCATTGTCGTCATCACTCTCAAAACCGTCAACGTTACCATCAGTTAAATCATCATGGGATTTTTTCCCATTTGATAAAACGCGATTTGTTACTGACCAACTATCAGAAAAAACGGATTCTTTGTAACCTTTTGATAAGAAGTCACTTCGATTATTGCTACCTTGCTTATACGCCACGAATTTATCACGAGCATTGTTTTCGTTGAAAGAGTGAGCATCTGCAATATTATCATTCCATTCACATGATGTTTCAGTTCTGTTAGATAAATTCTTCTCGTAATTGTATTTTTGACTCATTGTATTATGAACAGGCAAGGTGAGTTACACTTCAGAAACACACTTCAAACACTTGATACGACTTCTAGCGCTAATTTTTAGCTGAAAGTTAATTTTAAATAGAAAAGTCAATCCGATGAATTGATAAACTTGATATCATGCAATAAAGTATTGCTGACCACCTGTTCTTGACTATTAGTAAGTTCAACTAAAGTCCAAGACAATTATGAACGAGTGGTCTTTGATAAAACATCACTTGTGTATAAGCCCCTATTGAGATAAGCTGCCTCAGATTGTGACAACTGTTAAATTCTAGCACACTCTTATATCCTCAAATAAGTTTAATAAACAAATAAAATATATCCTGGAACTTAAAGAGTGATAACAAGAGTATATTTTAGCAACAAGTGAACCAGTTAAGTGCTTCTCTATCCAGTTCTATGCCACACATAAGTTTCGTATCACTTCTTGTACACGAAATGTATTAAGCGATATGTAACAATTTTATTTTTTATACTTTCCATAAATAACTAAATGCTGTTTCTATGCTGAAAGTCAAGAAAAGGTTGATAGTAATATATATATATATATATCTGCCCGTTTTCCAAGATTTAATAAAGGAGCTTTACTTCTTTTACACGCAATTAAGCACAATGTATATTTAGTTGCAAAGCATTCAGCTGAGCGACTGAATAGTTTAGTGTTAAGGCGATTCGGAGGTACGCATATTAAACTGTAACATTAGTTGAACTTAAACTGAGGCGAACGGGTTTCTTAGACGAAAGTTCATAGTATACTTGTAGATTACAAGACAATAGCTGACATCAGTAGATAAATTTTTAAGGTACCCGATAGCTATAATAGGATAGTATGGAGGATTTCTTGCTTATCATTGAAACCAGTTTTTAAACTTACGAAGTCAAGTCCTACACATCTCCCAGTTTAGGGTACTAGATATCTATTTCTATAAGCTCACTTTTATGAGATGTTACGAAAAAGCAAGAACTTAGCGACAAAACCAATTAACACAACGCGTGACAATGGTCCGAAAAAATACAGCTACACATAATAAATGAGGTTTGAAAATTATCTGACTTTTTACAATTTATTAACACTAAGTTTTGATAACTTGCCGGATGGCCACATCAAGGATACGTAGTGAGAAAAAGCGTTCAGTGATTTTCATGGCACACCTAATCGTTTTACATGACCTTTAGCACTAAATTCCGTTTTATTCTATACCGATGATTTTAAGTGATTTTTCATGTCATCTGTAATTGTTATAAATAATTCGAACATAAAAATTAACATTTCCCATGTTCCAAAACAATGTTTTATATTAAGTGCTACACCTCTAGATACCAGTAATCCACACTGGAATGGGTATGATTTATTGACAGAGAGTTTTCGTGTCTTTCGTGAGTTATATATATGACGAGCGAATACTGAATACAAATGGTATATCTAATGAATTTAAAACTAATACAATTACCACTGGAATCGTATAGTAAGATAATTTCTAGTGATATAGATATGGACCTTTCGTTTTGGGTTTGAAAAAGTTTTAATTCCGAAGTAAGGTGATGCCTATTATTTTCAAACGCCTATCGAAATATATAGAGAACAGTGGTGGAAAACACAATTTGTAGACATTTTTTGAAAGGTAGGTTGAGTGTAGCAACTACATCCAGCAAAAAGAGAATATTGCAGTTTAAGTTTGAAGAGAATATGAGCATCGGTGGCCTGTGTTACTCCTTGCAACCTTGATTTCTCAGATGATCCAGGTTTCTCTTAAATGCGTCGACATTCAAGTGAACATATTTTCGAATTCCTTATAGGTTGCATAGGAATACAGGTCATACTTCTAGTTTTTTATTTGATCGGGCTTTTAGTACTAACCTGCCACTTTTTGAAGAGGTGATTTCTAGATAATAGAATAAATCCACTCGCCAGCCTTGGTAGATCAATATTCCAACAGCTGACCTTGACTTCAAAACTCAAGCTCTTCTGAATTGGTCTAGTCAAATACCTTGTGAGATCCACGCATAAGAGAGCGTACTTGGTTAGGAGCAGGTTTGAATGAGTAACGCCTAGGGTGGTTTCTGACAATATCGGCAGAAATGATATTTTGATAAGTCTTTAGTTAAGATATTTGGAAGTTTCCGTACCAATATCTTCGCGTATATTGCTTACTTATTTGAACTGTCGAACAGCTTCTGTCGAGTTTTTTGGTCGCACTTTTGACTATTACTATCCATTTTGGTTAACGTTATATCACATCCACTGAGGCGTGCTTTTGTAAACAGAGGGGTGCAGTGGGTCTCCTCTGGTATACTCAGAAGTCATACTGAATGTTGCCTCGTCCATTTTGGAGTTGTGTTGAAACTTTTACACAGTCTTTTCTTTAAACATTATCCTTTTGTTAAAGTCAGTTTTCCGAGATTCTAAATTTCGAATTACTATGAGCATCACAAGTTTCGTTCCGGATTCGTACAAAAAGACTGCGGTGTTGATGATAATTTGTATCCCGGCTTTTGACCGTAACTAGTCAGCAGGCTGATTTTAAAACTGGCGTAACAGGAATAGTTGGCTGAAAATGATTCCAGTGTTTTATTATAGTAATGTTATTTCTTTGTTTAAGCACTCAGTTTCTACCTTATATTTTACTGAGAACTCTTGCAACCATGTTACAAGCTTAACCATTCAGCTTACGTTCTTGTTTGGCATATATTCGCTCATTTCTATAAATTTTCTCCTTTGAAACTAGTATCTTGACTACATTTCCCTTTAATTGCTTTACATTTTACCTTTAAGTTTATAAAGTAACAGGAATGTTCCTTCCACGAGTACTTACACTACAACGAAAAGGACAAATAGAGGGAGTTTTAATTCAGAGGTTAGTTGAAAGTCAAAAATACCTAGTCCTAGCAACAAGACTATCTTAAAGCCTAAAAACATAACTAAATAATGGTCCCCAGAATAATATATGCACCACGGATCAATCTAATCAGAAACCTATATTGAGTTTCCGACGAAGCAATGAGGATTACAATTGCACCCAGATTCTCACTTATTGCAAGACTGACAAGTCAATCAAAAATAGAAGAGCATTCCAAACTACTAGTATCGCTGTCCGCAAGGGAAAAACCACGTGCATGCCTTCTCATTTCTCGTTGAAACCGGCGAGTGAATACTCGAAATCAGTTTCTGGTGTCACTGTGATAGTTTAGTACTCTAATAAGGTGGTTTCATGTTAAGTCACTCATGTTTGGTGTTCTGATACATTTCCAAATATTTTTAGAGAAAGTATATTGATATGATTACCAGGGGAGAGCCAGTAAACTCCATTGGAAGGAAAAAGTTGCAACCCCCCACCATGAACCGGAGGAACAATAAGGACCCAATAAACGACCGAATCGGTAATCCAGGTTTGTTTGAGCTAGTGAGTAGTTGATGATAAGCTCGTGGACATAATTCGCATTGGCTGTCACACAGCATAGGCACAATATTGCTATTTATTTCTGAAGGCAAGTCACACAAATTATCCGGCTGAAGTATTCTGGTCCACGATATATACTGACACTCAATAATGTAAGATGATTCAGGCAAAGTCGCAACAACTCCATATGGGATCTGACTAAATATTGCCAGCTGAAGACCCTAATGCTCTGCCCCCAAAACTTAACATCAGCATATAACCTATGCTAAGTGGTTTCAAAGGCGGACTGTCACAACTATAGGGTTCTGAGAAGGGATAAAAGAGAGAGGAAAAAACAGTAACGAGGCAGTTGTATGAATATAACCAGAGTACTTCTTAACCTTCCATGGTGACGTAGATAATGAAGTGGTAAGTCTAGGTAAAATTCATACTGACCACAAAAATTTAGGTAAGTTGAAGTGATATGATCGTTACTTATGGGACAATGTATTGTAGTCGTAGGGACCATGTTTCGAGAGGGGTTGGTCAGGAAGGCCTTTCTGACCAAGTATATGGGTTTCAGATAGTCGATGCTGATGTTGTTTTTAATCCATCCTTTATCAATACTTTTAGTACTTAGGTCCGCAATGAAAAACTTTGCAGGTCTCCTCATATATACCTCCTAGGTGTCGACGTACGAAAACCTTTACATTAAGTCGTAAGACAGGCTGAACGAATACAGCATTATAGTGGAGTTCCGTTCTCTTAAATGGATCTTCCGGTTGTGGGGCTTTCATTGCTTTTCTGTAGAACGACGTCAGAATAAACTTCAGATGGAAAAGAAGTATTTGAGTTTCTCTACGCGTAACTTGTTCTAATAACCTCGATTGTATTTTTATTGACCTTAAACCTGTTGTTGTCTGTATTTTCATTTTGATTGTATCCCCATCACACCAGTTTTTTGATCCTATGTCTGACCATGATTTTTCTGATTGGTTGATAAACTGTTTGTTAATTACTGAATGACTTGAATACCAAGCTTCCAAAAGTCCTCTAGTATTACCTATTGGGTTGGAATGATGTTGGAATAGTGAATAGAGGGGGTGCCCAAGCAACATTTGCTATGCCTAATTACAGACACGTATATCTTTGTTCATAATGGGCCAACAAAATTGTTCTGATGTCAGAGTGGTAAAGAGAAACTTTTTACAATTTGTTGTAAGTATTGTCGATATTGTTTAGGCAATAATGGACAATTCCTGCCCAAAGGTAGGTTAAATAGTAGATTTTCCTTACCTGCTCCCATCTGTTGAATTCGTTGTTTCAGGGTTCTTGATGACAGCTTCTTCTGAAAAACAGTGTCTTCTTTTTGAAGCTGAGATAATTAAGGAAGGTGCATTCGTTGGAAACTTTTAAAGGAAGTTATAGAGACGAGGAATTTGCGACCTCATTGCTTTTTCCAGGAATATATTATGTATCTGAAGTAAACTATAAAACGTAGTTCACTTGTCGGGAATCTACAGGAACAGCTGAGATAATCAGTTCAAGACTAGCTGTCTCTTAAGATAGTGAATTCCTAGAACATACAGAGGTTTGAAAGTGTAGTACAGCACATTACTTAGCCAGGTGTTCCCTACCGAAAGTGATATATCTCGAGTTAGTGTCACGCAGCCGTGTCGACAAGAACGCTTAAGGCTGGTAGGTTTGCTTACCTACGATATACCAATATGTGCTTTGGTCTCCAAATGTGCCAACATAGTTAACTTAGCGTTGTGCTCATTCATTGTGGAAAAAGGTTTCATTGCATTGTTTTCCAAGTAAATGGTTTTCACTTCTCCAATAAGTTGGTAGGTTAAAAGTCCTAAAACAGACACGCCAATCAGTATGATTTGTCAGTTAAAGACCTACCAGTATATTAATCGTTAGTATTTGTTTGATTGTGGTCACTTCTGTATATTTCAGGATGACAGCCATTTTGTTTTCTGAAAGGCGAATGCATCAGCATGCATAAAGTTGAGACCTCGATGAATCTCTAAGAAGCTTCAAAAGCATTTTTCAAACCAAAAAACAAACATGAAAATTCATTGAGTTCAAAGGGATTGATGATAGCTGTTTTTGGAATGTCTTCTGCAGCCACGGATCTTTGGTTACAAACCCTTAAGTAAATAGATTTTCGAAATGACAGCAGTATCTTTCAATGTGTTTGTTAAGTCGTGAATGTGAGGCACTAGGTAACCAGCCGGTCTGATTTTCATATGCATTCTTCAGTAAACACCTGCAGTACGCCAGTCATTGCTGTCCTTTTTGGTGACCATATAACAATAGTCTATCCGACGGCTGAAAAATCCCTGAATCTACCATGTGATCGAATTCGTTTTAGGTAATTTTTAGATTTTCAGGTGCTTGTAGTCGGGGTTGTGGGAGTAGAGGTGTTCCTGTAGCTGTGATGTGACGTGCAGCATTGCTGGTTATACACGGTAATTGTGTTCGTGTTTGGTACATTTTTATGAATCTGTTGAGTATGACTTGAATGAAAAGATCAATTTTGTGTTAAGCCGTCATTGCACACAAGCTAACTAAATAACCGAAACCATACCTTAAAATTATGAGATGAGGGCAAAGATATCAACTGAATAATACTGGCTCGTGGCAGAAAAATTGTATATTGAAAGACTATCTTAGGTCAATATAACGCTCGACTAACAAACTTCAAGGTGATGCCGGATGGCCTGTCACATAAAATGTATGTTGTGGTTTAGAGTCCATTTTATTGAATAGCCTTATCTGTGGAGATGTTAAAGGGAGAGTCAGTGCACTTTGCTCAAGGGTTTCTAAGGTTATGAAAGCTGCTGGACAGTTCGATGTATGTTGTTCACCAACGTTTTAATCAATCTAGATGATGTTTTGTTTAGGAGACTTTTTTGGAACTCAAACTGAAGAAATACAAAAGCTGATCGATGGAAGCTTATCAGGTACCCTTTCTAAAAATTTTAACTTTTTAGTTCCCCTTCCTACTTATATCGTGTCCCCATACACAGAAATCGCTCGAAAGTTTTGTCAGGTGGAATCTGGTTGTGAGCTTTGCAGTAACCTCACGTATTTGGGTAAATCTATTTATCTCGCACTTACCGCTGACAGGGTCCAAAGGTACATACACAACGATGAGTGGTCTACGTGTAGTATACATGGCTGAATGGGAATCTGATTCCGACAACTGTAACCTGCCATCTAGCTTACTCAGTGAGGCTCTTGCAGCAGAAGGCTACGGATTTATGGGTGTTGACCTCTTACTCACTTGTCAGTGGCCGAAATATGTTAATAAGCTAACTACTTTTGAACTTCCTGACGGTTGTCAGCAGTGTATCGACTTTTCGTCCATTTTAATTTCTCGATTGGCTTATCTTACTCGACCAAGGTACCATTTTTCATGTGGTAATGGTGTATATTACGAGAGATCACCATACAGGTAACACAGAATTTTCAAACTCATACTTAATGCTTAAAAGTCCATCTTCGTTTCCACTTTTATACCAGTAAAAATCATATATCTAGACAATATATAATTGGGAAACCATCGATTTTTAACTTGCTGGGCTTACCTTTTGAACCTTTGATGTGCTTAAAGATAAATGGAACACAAGAGAACTCGTCAAACTGTATATAGGCAAACTGGATGTAGTCCTTCGATGTTGTTGAATTTTTACCTTTTTTTCAGTTGAACATTTGTCTGGCCTAACTGTAATTTGGATGTTAGCGAAGCTATTCGTGACACTATTGTCTGCTTAATGTGACTTTAAAAAAGGTTATCAAGATATCTTCTACATAGAATAATCATAGTGGCTACATTTGAAGTTAATCATTAGGTAAAGCTGATATGGAAGGACAAGCCTTAGTGGCTGGATAGGCACGACATACCCGTTACTTATTCATCTTATCAGATAACAAATATGAATTTATGGACTGTAATTCTAGAGCTAACATTTAGGCTGTAGGATTAATATTCGATACAATTTCCATGAATTAGGATTTAGGATAAAGATGTAGAGTTTAGAATTTACTATCAGTATGTGGATATAGATTTTAGCATTTAAAGCTAAAGAAATATATGAAGTACTAATAACCTAACTTTAAATTGATCCCAATATCAAAAAATAATTTTAAATTTTAAACCATAGTATTAACTCTGAAGCCTAGTCCTGTAGTATCTAGTAGCGGTTTCGTCCAAATATTTTTCCGGGTCTAAACAATATAGCTAGTGACCAATAATTTCATGTAGAACCATCTATTCTATTTTCAATAGATGAGATACTGTTTTGACGTGTACACTGTCACCTTAAAAAAATATTCTTTTTCTTCTCTTAACTTTTGTTCTCATTGAGTTTAGTATTTCTACATTTGTGTTTCAACCTAATAATTCTATTTTAGAAATCATCGTGTTTTACAAGAAAAAGCTTGTCATACTACACGTTTTATAGCCTTGGCAGATGTGAAAAATGAACGTAATCAAAAGGTATTTTTTTTTACATCGCTTTGATCTATTCGATTAGTATTTATATGCCCTAAAATTAATCCCCATTGATAAAATGGATCATCAAGATTTAATAAATCAACCTCCAGATGTAACAGAAAATCCATATCGTGAATTTGTTGACCAAAAACATTCTGCAGACAGAGAAACGGTAAGTCACACTGGTTTATAAATAGACATTAGTTAATATGTATAAGAAACAGACATATTTCTTTTTACACTCATCTTTTATCATATGCTTCTAAAATAATCAACGACAAGATCTGAAAATAGATATCTTGCTTGTTGTCCTTCTTTATTGTGTACTGCTTACGGTTTTTTTTTACAACTTTAGCACTTTTTTATATGCCTTTATTACTAATCCCTTAATATGTACTGGAATTCACATCAAAGACACTAATTTGTGTGCACCTAAAACTAAGATTGTACACAGAAAAGGAATTAATAGTCACTTAGGATTCTCCATCCAATATGCTTCTATCGGTTGATCATGATGGACAAACTTGACTACTTCATCAAAGTAATAGTGCCATTAAGAAGCTTAGCAAGCTCTAGCTGTAGTCGTTAATTAGTAGGGCTACACTTTACATAATTCAAATAGGCTATTAGTAATCCAGTGAGTTCTCAGGCATAACCTAATCTTCTCAAATAGACTCCTACTTGACTCCTATCGTACATCAGGATAGATTATTTCATCTTTAATTTATTATATACTTATCGTGAGTCACTAAGTAAAATTATGCTTCATAAGTATACGTGTATGTATCCAAATTTATTAGCTTGATGATGTTTTTATCGATGATTAGGAAGTACAAACTGACCAATATTTTTATAACATGGATACAGAGAAAAATTCAGAAACTCGTACAAAGAAATCCATTTATCAAAAGCACAAAATCAACACTGATACATTGGAAGAAGATACAGATAACATCAAACGTCAACTTGTTGATAAAAGCGTAAGTAGTGAAGAAAGTTTTCAAGAAAAAATCAATAGTAAGTAAGGTTTATTTCGCAAGTAATTAATTTTAAACTTATTTTTAAACACGTATGTAAAAATAATCTGTAACGATGCATTGAATCGGTGACCGAGTTGCCTATCACTATATTTTTATTTTTGTAGTTGTTTAATTGAATTCGAAAAACTTTACTATTCCAGTAAATATTATTCGCACTCCATCATGTCATAGGTTTGTGTTGAAGTATATTGGTTATATCTCTTAATAAGAATCCAATTTATTCCCCATCATGTTAGTTTTATTACTTCATATTGGATTCCTGTGTTCTCATCTGGTATTATATAAGTTATCATTAAAATTAAGGCATAAAATCGCAAAAATAAATGTTCCACATGAAAAGGATGAAAGTTCTGCGAAGAGATAGTCATGTAGCACTAGTGAGAAATACTATATTGAACAATAATAGTCCGAATATGGCTGAAATCAACATAGATTTCACTGGATACGTGGAATAACAAAGTTCCCATTATCATATCCAACTGTATAACTGTACATGTTGGATATTGCCAAATTTACACTTGGAATTCCCAGGTGAATCTGCCAACAAGACACTGTTGTTTGTTTACTACAAGTTAATTAGATAACATTTGGCTCATGGGTCTAATCTTAGACATAAGACAGAAAAAGTTACTTCTTCAAAGATATCCGCAATGAAATATGTTGAAATCACTAATATACACTACTCATTCAGAAGTTCTTTAAACAATAAATGTTTTTGTTAGAGGTTCTTAAATATTTATTGTTATTATTATGTGGTTATAGTAGCCATATCTACGGGTCAAGTATTGATCTACGTTTCTTGTTTTGAATACTTGTCATTGTTTAACAATATTACCTCTTTAAATCCACATTTAAACAATCTTCATTACAATCAATGTAACAACTAGGTAGCAAACTAATAACTGTTCTGTTGAACCTCAAAGTCATATTTTTTGTACAAACTTCAGTAATATTTATTGACTGGCCAGAGTTAGGCGGGTAAAAAAATGAATCTGAACATATGATCAAGCACTTGGAATTCGATTTGCTTGAATTATTTTAAACTCCAAAAGTTAATTGTTACTTTTTATTATTTAAAAGTATTAAAGATTCCCATTGTGAAAATTAGAACAACATATATAAGCGAACAATATTGTTTTCGATTAGATCGTCATCAGGCTTTACTCTAATATACATGAATATTTATATGAAAATGTTAAACCAATCAAGGCAATTTGAGTGACGATCTAATCGAAAACAATATTGTTCGCTTATATGTGTTGTTCTAATTTTTATTATTTATAAAGTCAATGTTCGATTATTAACGTAAGATTGAAAAGTTTTATTATTATAATTTTTTCACTATCTAACATTGTTGATATGGTTTTCCGTATTGTTCATTACAGAAAATCGAAATCATGCAGCTTGTTGGTTTTGTTTAGGTAATCCACAAGTGAAAAAGCATTTAATTGTTAGTATTGGTAGTCAAGCTTATGTTGCTTTACCACGTGGTCCTATTGTATCAGATCATGCATTAATTTTAACTATTGGTCATCATCAAAATTGGATTGCTTGTCCAGAATATGTTCGTTCAGAAATTGAAGAATATAAATCTCGATTAAAACGTATGTATGCTGCACAAGGCAAAGCAATGGTAACATTTGAACGTAATTTAAAAACTCAACACTATCAATTACAAGTGAGTTCATAGTTTTCTATTTTTTATTATTGTTTTAGATTTCATTTTCATCTAAACAATGAAATAACTGAGATTATAAATGTGAGATTTTAGATGGGAATTCAGAAGTGACGCTTCTAGTTGGTGGGGTAGGTCTTGAGGTCTTGGGTTCTATCGCCGATAGGTTCGTGTTAGCCGTTGCTTTGAAGTCTTGTACAAAAGGAAACTAATTATTCAGTTATCACTATTTTTCAGTGATCTTCCTAATGAAATCAGTTTGTGATGTAAATTGTCTTAAAAATCGCTCTGTTATCATTTTACGTTGTTAATTGAGCTTTAATTCTGCTCTCAAGAAGATTGATTTAAATTTTCATACTTTTACTAATAAGAATGCACTTGTCATGATTTTAAGCTCAATTATTTCCCACTATTGCATTTTTACAGTTTTCATTATATATGTTCCATGTTTTTAACAGTTGTATACGCTTTCATTTATTCAATGAAGGTTGTTCCTGTACCATTTTCAGTTGCAGCAGAGGTGAAGCAAGTATTTCTCGAGTTATCTGCCAATACTGATTATAGTCCTTGTGAACTGAAACCAGTTCCTCGACGAACAGAATTAGATGAAGTATGTTTTATAAATTTTTGTGAAATTTAATTTTAAAACTAGTTCAAAAATACCTATGCAGTATAGACTGAAAGTTAGTTGTAAAACTAGGAGGCAGTTGTTATCGAGATCAAGAATCCTTTACTAGTGTTCACCTTCAATTTATGTTAAAGGGAGTGATTGCTAAACTAATGAGACTACTGTCATATTAATTAGAGTCGAATTTTGCCTATTCATGATCAAATATTTACAATGTATGTATGTTCTCTACTTTTGAAGACTATTTTTACGACTGTGGAATGCATACTAATAAGTAGTGTAACGTTTAAAATACTCAACAAGAATATTGTTGGTTCAAACCTTGTCTCATTTCTATAAGTTCGGTTAGCTGATTAGTGTCCCTTGCTTAAATAATGTACCCAAACGTGTTTAGTACATGACATGGCTCAAAATCATTTGCAATGGCGCATGTGCATCCACTCTTTGTGTTCTCTCAAATTTTTATCTTCCGATTTTCTCATCAACTCTGTCTTTCTATTTCTAACCTTATCTCACTAAATTATACTTCTTGGATAATTTCTTCAAACCCTGATATTTTTGATTACCGCTAATACTTCTACTAAATCTACCACTATGGTATTTGAGTTGACAATTGCGTCTCTGTGCTAATGTGGTATGGCAACCTGAACTCTTGTAAGTACGTACGAAGTTCTACATTGTAGCTAGCTGACTGACTGTTTAGTACATAAACCTTTACTTGATAAGTTTTATTAAGTTATATCCCTTGAAACAATATAGATGAAAGTGTAAGAGATATTTATGTAGATCACTTGATCATAACTTACACGGTTCATAATTGATACATAGAAATTCGAATAGATTCAAAGCATCATCATTAGAGTGAGGAAAAATAATACCTGTACTTCAAATGTATCGGCATTTTTACACAATGATTAAACAATGGAAATTGCATATTTTTATTCTTGTCAAATTTCGTGTTATTTTCAGTCGAAACTAAATTTTTAATCATAATTGTTTCTTGTTTGAATAAATAAATTGTTTCATTTTTTTTTTGTTTTTCCTATTTAATTTTTTTCTTAAATTTATTAATCTAGATTTGTAGAATTGGAATTCCATATTTTTTTGTTGAACTCCCTACTGGTGAGAAACTTTTCGGACGAATTCCAAAAGATCGTATTTCCACAGCGAATTTACAATTTGGTCGGTATGTTCATTGTTTTTTACTTGCTGCTTGTTAATTAGCTTGCATATTTTGAATATTTAGAATTTTAGTTTATTGGTTCGAAAGTTAAATGATTGAGTGTTACTATAAGTTTGCTATGTACTACTACACAGTGTTATGATCTGATATGAATTGGCTAACGGTCAAAATTACCACATAGATCAGTACAAAGGAAAGGTAAATGAACAACATTAGAAAACGTGGAGTTAGGATAATGATAATATCATTTACAATAAAAAGATAAACTTATGAAATCTATAATTCAGTTGGTAATCATTCCGTTAATATTTTCGACTGAATTTTGATCCTATTTGGAATGCCTTCAGAGAGTTATTATTTCAAAAAAATTTCATCTCTCTATAGATACGGCAACTTGAAGAATCTGTTTATATGCTTTTATCGAGTTCTACGTTGTGACTGACTGACTGATTTGAGGCTGTAGATTTTTATTTTAGTTTAATAGGTTATGATTCTGTAAGCTGTTCAACCTACAGTATATGAGCATCAAAGCACTGACACATAAAGTATCAATCGCTTAATGATGGTGATTTTCAAATTTCAATTGGTGATAGGTTGCAAGTTCATGTCGTTCTGTTTGAACAGTCGATTTGTATCACTACCTTTCACATAAAGGATGGTAGCACAGAGCTACTCTCTGTACACATTAACACTATTAACGTATAATTGTTTCTATTTTTACAGTTATTATAAAATGTCAAATAATGTATATTGTATATTATCTAGTTCACTAATCTGTACAGTTGATTGATCACTGAGTAATAATAGTGGCCAATGATATGTTTGTTTAGTCCTCTTTAGTGCTGATCATGTTCTGTCGATCAAGTTGTAATGTGGTTACTGATCTAAATGCTTCAATAGTGCATCAAATGGGCTGAGATGTTAAGCAGTTGAAGGTCGTCGATAAGGAACTTTGGATCTGTATTGCATGCCATTCGACACTCACCAATAAGTTGTGCATATAAAAATCAGTTATGTCTTGAATAACTCAGCAGTTTAACGTTTCAGATTGCATGAACTTGGGTGGAACAGCTTCGAAACCCAAAAGAAACATCATCATTTCCTTCAAGTTGATAAAAATACTGTTGGGGGCGCTAGATCCCTAGAACTCACTTGATGAAGGTCCTAATTTTAGATTCTATACTATAGCGCATGGGCTGATCAGTTAACCTTGAGATGACATTTCCACCCCGGAAAATCCTTGACTGTCATTAGTTGATGTGTTATTTTAGTACGCTATTTTGTGGCTCTCCCAAGGACGTTTCTATCATGTATAAATAAACTCAATTTATGTGCTTGTCGACCTCATATTTTCTGGGTGCTTGTAGAATACACTTTCTACGTCTTATCAAGACTTCTTTCTCTACTTAGCGGAGCGTTGTAACTGTCGGATGAGAGTAGCCTGTCGTGTCACTGGATCGTTTGTTTTCGCTCTCACTTACCGACTAAGGTGATCTCGTAATACCATTCAAGCATATCAAATGACGAATATAACAAATGCACCTTACTAATGAAAAGCAACTTGCACCTGTTGACTACTTCCGAATACCTAAGACACTAATTTGTACATGTTTGATGAGTAAACGTCTTTATTGATTCAATACATCTGTTTAATCTATGCTATGTATTACTACTAATTCGTTATATTACATCTTTCTGACACATGATTTTTTTTTCTCTATCTATTCTTATTTTATATATACAGTATTGTTCTAACAGATCCACGTATTTTAAATTGTCCAGAAAAAGCCGACTGGCATGATTGTACAGATGAGGAGGATGAAGAAAGTGTTTTAGCTCAACAATTTCGTCAAATGTTTTCACCTTATGATAAAGATGAGGATGATAATGATAATGATAATGATGATGATACTACTGAATAAACAAAACAACAGAATCGTTATGAGTAGTATTATTATTTTTTTTTAAAAAAAAGTTTTGTTTTCACACATAGCATTTTATTTTCTGATTATGTTTTTTGTTTGTTTATATTGAGAGTCAATTATTGGGTTTTCTTTTCTTTTGTTTTTGAAATGAAAGAAAGAAGTTGTATAGTTTTTGTACAAATTCAATTTTTTTTTAGACAATAGAAATGTTAGTTTTTTTATTGTTGAGTTTATAAGATTGTTTCTTATCTCTCTCCTAGGGACTTTTTATAAATGCTGATATTTATAACTAAGTGTTTAACAGAATAAGGTCTTTTCCTTATGTAGGAATGTTGGATTGATTGAAAATTCACCAGAACTCTTCTCATGGAAAGTAATTTTATACAACAGAATTATACTACTAAATAGTAGTATGTTAGTGAATCGCAGTAAAAAAATTGTTTCACAGTAGTTAATAATCGGTAATCAGTGAAGCTTGTAACTTGATATCAATATATATATATATAGTATTTCAACTCGTTTTTTAAACTTTTAACAGGGTTTTTTAAAATAACCAAAAAATTTTTTAAAATGTTCACAGCGTTTTTTAAAATTTTTTGAAAAAATAAAATAAGAACTACTTTTAATTAATTAATTAATTAAAATCTATCAATTCTTCAACAAAATTGATATAATATCACCTCATATCTTCTTATTTGATGGTTTTCCTGTTTTTTTCTTCTCAACTCGCGATTCCTTTTTTGTAGCGGCCTGATAGTTTACATCTGTAAGAAATGCCGCATCGTTGACGCTGTATCCATTGTCAATAACTTTTTTTATAAGGCTTTTTCTTTTTTCATTCGAAATCAAGTTGTTTTTTCTATTTATTTCTGACATTCTAAGGATTACAAAAAATTTTAAAAAACGCTGTGGTTATTTTGAAAAATTTTTTGGTGTTATTTTAAAAAACCCTGTTAAAAGTTTAAAAAACGAGTTTAAATACTATATATATATATATATATATATATATATATATATATATATATATATATATATATATTTATTTATATATACCGAGATTGTAATGAAATACTTATATTGTAGTATTTTAAGTTGTGAGCAGCTGATGAAAACCTAAGAAAAACAAACAAATTCATCTTAATCTAGTAAAATTTGCCTGCCTAATAAGTTGGATTCTTTTGCGCTGAAAACATTAACATTTATGAGTTAGTATTATTCACTTCAGTTGGTTAGTATCGTCGTATATCTAGGAAAGCAGTGATTACTTGGTAGAAAATCCAGTTGCAGGTTCATTTTGTCGCGTTGAAAACAAATGCATTTTGTCTACAGCAGTACATCAGTCAGTCAGTTACAAGGTGTAACTGTATGTACGTGCATAAGTTCAGGTTGCCATACCACAGTAGCACAAAGACGCAATTGTCAGTTCAAATCCCATAGTTTTAGAAATTGCAGAAGTATTATTGGTAATCCGAAAGATTAGGGTTTGAAGAAATTATTATTTTATGTATAACAGATCCACTTGTTAGTGTGTAGCGTACTCGCTTCGAAATGTAAACAGACGGAGTGCTGTTCTCTGTAAAAAACAAATTATCTGTTTAATCCTCTGTCTATCTAAAGTTAGATCGCGATGTAAATTGTCTCCAGTTTAAACAATCTCCAAAATTTTCTCTCGACAGGGAACCCCTAGACCTATATTTCTTGCTAGTTCGTACTAGATTAGAAAGCTCTATTTATGTGTCATTTCAGCCAGTCTCACACAGTCTGAGACGGTACTACTGTAATAAATCCACATACATTTGCGTTTGTTCATATTTAATTTGGTTAGGCTCTTTTGATAAACTTTTATTTAATTGAGTCATTTGTATAATGATACTCATACGTACCATTGGCTTCGATTGTTGTCTGGTTTGTATAAGCAGTGTAACTGAACATTCCTTACCGCCTACGTAGGTATTCATCCTATTCGATATAATGTTAGCCTCTTAAATATTTCTATGACTCATCCATGTATATATATATATATCTTTACATTATAATTGTATTAGTTCATTCTCTCATTCGCCTGCTTGCCCTTTGGAACTTGCATATTGATTTTTGCTCTGCATGCCTGTGGTTTGGGTGGTTTATTTGTGGCGCGCCAAACAAAACACTTCGTATTCGTCTTCTGATTTATAAAACGATGAGTCGTTATTTAGCAGCAGTTGTCTGGACGAGCAGTATACAAAGTCTAAGAACATATCGAATACCGACCGACCGCCACGAAATTAGTAAGGCACCGGCCACCCACACTACTGAGTTATTTAGGCTGAAACGAATCATGTTTATTACTTCAGAAACCATACTACATACGAAGTGTATCTTATTCATCGTAAACACATTTCCCCTCGTAAATTAATCATTATCTTATTTGGGTAATTTCAGTTACAATGATTAGATTCTCGCTATGCTACGCATATTAACATATGGTAGGTTGACAAATAAAATTTCTCTCAATTTACATAAATTAATTTTTAATCTGATTGATTTTGTACAAATACACTATCCCAAACGACATTCTAATGTTCAGTAACTTTTTCCTGTTGATATCAATGGATGATGTGAATATTTTTTCCTAAATTTATATACAAACGGTATAGTTCAATGTTAAAACATTGTACAATAAATACAGTCAATTCAAACTAAATTAGTGCGGTTGGTTTCTGTTGATTTTTGAAGTTCATTTAATCCTATTATACAAACACAATGAATCAAAATTATCAGTGTTCTTATCTAGCTAGACTAAGTCGGCAAATAATTATAAAAATTATCTATTCATTTCTTATCAAAAATATGTGCTCATCAGATAGGATATTTCATTCATCTAACTATCATATGAAATGAATATTCGATGTAGAGTTTAAAAAAAATGAAACCATTTCACTTTATTAAGATAGGCAAGCCAGGTTTGAAAACCAGTCTCGGTTCAGACCTGTATGTGGATGTATAGACTAGATATTTACATGTATCTAGGTCCTGGAACATAGACACACATTTTGACTCCTCATAATAGTTGTATCCCTTGACCTTAAGGCGGCATTTGACTATGTTGATCGTGAGGTTTTGTGGCAGTGTCTGTTATTGAAAGATGTAACAAAGAAGTATATTAAGTTTATAATGGTTCTCTACTCGAACGCTACTGGTTGAATGAGAGTTTATAGCGAACAGTCATCGGAATGGATTACTTAAAATGGTGTTACAGTCAGGGCTGTCCACTCTCCATTCTCATTCAACTTTATCACTTAATAGGTTTTAGAGACAACACCTTCATTGACTGACTCCAGGAATTAACTTTCGAGGAGATTCGCTTGTTGACTTGAAATATACCGATGACGCTGTTCGATTTGGTGATGCTGGAAAAAATGCAGAATTTTGTGAACACTTTAAGCAACAAAGCCAACATGTTCAAGATGCGATTTTCTTCCTCGAAATGTAAAAACGTTGCTTCATGATTGGTTTGCATTGGCACCCGAGCTATGCTAGTAAGATTGCCTGGTCGGGGTCCACGAGATGATGGTAACCGATGGTCAGAGACCTTGAACGACATGGCTCAAAATCGTTTGTGATGACGTAGATGCATCCATTCTTTGTCTCATCAAATTCTTATCTGGATACCTCATAACTTTTTACTCTTTAAATTTATTTCAATGGATTCTACTTCTCGAATCATATCTTTAAACCCTAATCTTCTCCATTACCGCTGTGGTGTGAGCAACTTATTAGTAATATATGACGTGAGTGTCAACTTAATGTCTGGCAGCAGAAGATGGAAGATCAAGAAAGGAAGAGTGGGAACACAATGGAATTTGTTTGAAACTCATGAATAGTGACAATGGATTGATGTTTTGCAACAGGAACAGTCCAGTTCGATATGATGGACTGATATTTTGCAAATGAACGATTTACGATATAGTTTTCCAATTTTACTGAGTAACTCTGTAATTTTCGTTAAATACAATTCGGTTGCCCCACCTGTGTTCTCGTTCACTACACCGCTAGTACTTCTATTATCAATACTAGTTTGGAATTTCAAATAATAATATCATCTCTCTGTGCTAATGTGGTGTGGCAAGTTGAACTGATGTATGTACGAAGTTCTACGTTGTAACTGACTGACGACTATCAGACACCAGAAAGAATAATAATGACGAAGTATATATAGCTGTTTCAATAATTGTATATTAGTACGTTATTTAATGAGTCAACTTAAGTTCATTGTGTATTAGTTGAAAAAATCATGGAGTACAGCCTGCCAAAATCCATACTAGCCTAATATTCAAAGAGAACATCATAACACGTAGTTTAATCATTAAATTAATACGTGACAAGAAACTAATGAACATCATTTCCTGTGAACGATGTATATCGAGCAGAATTATACAAGTAGATACACACTAGCTTATAAAACAATACAACAATGATGGTTGGTATTGAGGCAGAGAGGAGAAAAAAAATTGAGTTGAACGTTTTCGTATCTGTTTGCCTATCATCAAATGTATATTTGTTTATGGAAGGTATCAGTTCAAATTTTACTCAAACTTAGATTCCGAGCTGAAAAATATTTAATTGAAATAAACGGCTTCTAATATTTTAAAATTTTTATCCACTGGGACTTATTATTATCTATGATATGCTTTGATTACATAATTTAACCATATCGTTTTGTAGAAAATAAAAGTACTGACAACTATTTTCCAGCCATTTGATATTCTGACTGTAAGTTTGAGGATGTCCGGATTTGTATGATTTATCAATTGGATGTTTAATTCTGTAAAATATTTCATGGAATTTGCTATCAATTGTTGAGAAAACAGTGTAATGAACGAACATATCAAGATCAGATTGAATACTAGCGTAATTGGAGAAGACAAAGCTTACTAGCAAAATGTGTACACCTTATCTTCAAACTTCCATTTGTAAAACAAACAGGCCTATGGCCTTCAAAACACTTTCATGGAGTCATAAACTCGGATCCGCAACCTTCTTCTTGAGTAGTAACTTCTGGGCGACACTCCGCTTCATACTACTTGGAAGCCACATTATGTGTAGTATTCACTACAATGGCACAAAAGGCAGCATACGATATATCTGTTTCAGTCAAATTTAAATTCTTTTCAAAGTATACACCTTCAATTAGTTTATTCTTAATTTATGCTGTAGTTGTGAATGATATGAATAAATAAACTTTCTCTACTTCATTTTGTATTAAGCCGCTTAATACTTTAAATATCTATAATGTTGATACTCTGTGTCTATGCCTATTACTGATTGGATTGATTTCTAATGAAATCTTAAAAATAATCAATAATTTGAATGAACTACATGATTATTTAACTGGTGCATATATTTTGTATAAAACGAAAATGAAGAATAGTGTTTAGTAAAATCTATTATGAAAATATTGAAAATAACTACCGAAGACAATAAATAGATAAGGCTGCACATAATCCTTAGATTGATCAAAGTCAGACAATAACACTGTCAGGTGACAGCCAGTTCTGTGGTCCATAGATTGAGCGTTCGCGCGCAAGACCGAAGGTCCTGAGTTCGAATCCTGTCAGGAGCAGGTGTCTTGGATGCACCATGCTGATGAGTCTCATACCAGGACGAAAAGGCCGTCTTTCAGTGCTTCCAGGTTTCTAATGGTAGTTTAACATGATCACTTCATGATTTCGATGCTGATAATTATACAGATGTCCTAATCAAAAAATAAATCATTGAAGTGAGGCAGGGATAAAATGACAACTGTGTGTTTTTTAGTAATGAGTTATTGATTTAGTGAAGATATCAAGAATGTTTGTTTTTTATTTGTAATCGTTTTTGCAGGATTAGTCTTTAGATTAGATGAAAGAAGCAACTCGTTTAGGGTTTAACTGAATTAGTAGTTGGTAGAAAAAAAAATACTTAAACCGAACTGTAGAGTTCAGAAAGAAGCATTTTCCAGTTTATTATTACCATAATAAATTTATGATCAGTTTACCTTGAGATTTCATTTCCCACCAGGAAAATCCCTGAGTGCTGTGTATTTTAGCGTGCAATTTTCCTGACTGTCCCAAGGACGCGTTTCTATGATGTATAAATCAACGAGATATGTGTGTTTGAATTCATTATGCTTGCTGGATGTTTGTAGAATATATTTTCTACGCTATATATCAAGACCTTTCATTAGTCAACTATTTAGGGTAGCCTATCCGGACACTGGTTCATTGTCTCGTTCTAGTTTATCGACTAAGGTGAACCTGTAATAGTTTCAAGCACACTTGGTGACGAACATAACAATCATTTAGTTTTCACACTAAACGAACAGCCATTTACTCATGGCTAACGTTAGAATAAAATGATTTAATGGTATAATATTCAAGTAAATTAGTCGAAATAATCAAAACTGAGTTTTATCGGTTGTTCAGAGACGTAAAGTAGGCTCACGTTCTATTATTAATGTTAGTTAACTTCTTTAGAGATTTAAGTATTCATTCATCAGTTACAAGTGATTTGTGAGGCTGAATCATCTACTCATCGAACATTCATTCAATCTAGGTGTTTCGAAGTAAATATTTCAGAAATCAAATAAATTTCATGTATTAATTTACATTTTAAGATTTGAATAAATAAATCACAAAGTAAATTAGAGTTTTTCTATGATTTTTCTGTTTAAATAAATATTTTTAATTAGGGGTTTATACAAACCTTGTAAACTGAAGTTGATAAGACACTTATTACTTAAACCGATATTAAGTAATAGATAAGATTAGGGAAAATATATTTGTTTTCAATTACAGTTATGGAGATTAGTGTTTTTACATATTGAAATTATCAATCAATCATTGTTAGACAACCATTAAAAAACCCAGAAGCACTAGATGGCCGTTTCGTCGTGATATGGGACTCATCAGTAGTGCGCATCCAGGACTCCTGCATCTTGCAGGGCTCGAACTCAGGACATTCAGTCTTGCACTTGTTCTACAATAAGTATATCATAGTGCTGTAACAGGAAGAAGATTCGAAACATGCTACCATCTAGAACTGATTTATGGATTATTACTGTGTTTGAACTTATTGCACAATTATCTAATAACAAAATTATATATATATATTCCTTTATCTATAATCTTTTGTTTAAAACATTCACTACTTTTATGTCATTTATTATTCCTAGTCTATTGCTAGTGTATTATTCACTGTCTCTCCTCTATTCATAACCGCTTTTGGCTCGCTCATGTATAAATGTATTTTCTTATTTTATCGTGTAAAGTGGTCTGGTATGTTCGGTATATGAATTAAGTCTGCTTGAAGCATCACGAAAGTTTTGCAGAGGTTGGCTTTGGGTTTCTGGATTTAGAGAGGTAGAGTTGAGAAAATGAATCTGTCGGGTGATGAATCAAAAAGGTTATGAAGCTGATGGAATTCAGGATATAGATTTCATATTATCCCAAGGTTCGTCAGTGCACCCACCATCTCGAACTACGGGAAATTTAGAAAGTTGACTTGCTCGCCTTTTCTACTTCACTTCGCTTTCCATTAACGCTTTATATTCTCGTTTGCCCGATTAAATGGATGTGTTGGACTATTGCTTGAAATAAACTTATCCAACTGAATCCATAATTGGCATCTTATTACCGCTGCGGCACAAACGGTGTTCTTCTATGTATGACATGCGGAAACTGAAGAAGAGATTTATTTCATAGCATAATTAAATGTTTATAAAAATCAAAGTCACATCACAGACCATTAAAGTGGTAAGTTCAACATTGAGTTTGACGCAGCCATTAATGATTGCTAACTATCAGAATATTAAGGATATCAATTCGTAGATCGAATTTAGTAAAAAAAAACTTAAACACTAATTATAGATAGTCTTCATTTGTTTGGTCTTGAATGCAGTTTTTTTTCGCTGTATGCATTAATTCTCAGTGATTTTGTGTTCAGTTTTGTTACTATTGTTATTATTATAGTTTTATTTAATTTAATCGATATCCAACGAAATCCTCTCAAATGTAATCAATGCTTTTAAAGTTTTAATCCTATTTGTAAGATTTGTATTGGTTTTACTGAGTAGTAAATTCTGAGAGAGAGAGAGAGGAGGAATTTGTCGTGTTATGAATAAAAGTATCATAATAATCATCAGCAAAATGTATATAACTCAACTTGTTTACTGAAGCTGTTTTGTGATAAATTACTTAATCCAGATCATTACTATGCCAAACTGTAGATTCCTAAACATTGATTAATTCCTAGTTGGAATTAGTTCATGTATTAATGCTAAGTTTGGTGCAGGCGAGATATCCGCTTGCTAACCAAAAGACGAGTGTACTGTGCAGCAGTTCGCTCTGTCCTACTATACGGATGCGAAACATGGCCGTTAAGAGTAGAAGATGTTCGTAGGTTACTAGTCTTCGATCATAAGTGTATCGGAAGCATTGCTCGTGTATCATGGGACAACCGTATAAGCAATGCTGTCGTTAGGAAACGAGTTCTAGGTAGGGATGGTCTCATCAACAATGAGCACCCACGACTCCTGCACACGAACGCCTAACCTCTGGACCACAGAGCCGGCTGGCACCTGACGGTGTTAATGTCTGACTCTCACCAATCTAGAGATTCTATGCAACCCCACCCATTTTCTTCGGTAGTTACTTCCATCATCCGACATGGGTGAATCCCACTGGTCACGACTTTTCACTCCTAATGGTGGTCTAACGATGACTGATTGATGATTTCAATGTGTAATAAGTTTTATTACAGCATTGGTTAGCGGTATGACAATTGATATGTTTTAGTGTTGCTTTCATCTCAAATGATCGCACTACACATTACACGTCCGTAGCAGGACTCAGTAATATTTTTTTTGTACAAAATGTTCCATTGTTGATGACTTCTTGTAAGTAAATCTTTTATGAGTATTGTAAATAGTCGAAGCTTTGAGGTGAAAATAATAATTCGTGCTTTATTTGGATAAATTCATGAGTACGACGTTAGAATCGTAAACGACAGAGGAGTTTATTGTCAGCCTTCTTTTGAAACTTCAAAATTACGTATGAAATAGAATGGTCATATTTGTTGCAATTTAAATGACCATACTTGTTGAACACGTTCAAGGTTATCTGTAATATATATTCAATGTTCAATCAATGATTTACACTCGGAAATGTCGAAAAGTAACGACTAGTGCATTCATTTGAAAACTTTATGGTTCACAACCTTGTTTCAATACATTTAGAGATAAACTATCAGTCAGTCAATCAATAGCAACGTACAACTTCTTGCGTAAGTACGTACGTTCATCAGTTCATGCTGTCCTACCACATTAGCACAGAGATGTAATTGTCAATTCAAATTCTATAGTAGTAGAGGTAGTGAAACTATTAGCAGTAGTAGTCGGAGAGGTTAGGATTAGAAGATATTATTCAAGAAGTAGAATCTATTGAAATAAACTTAAAAAGATGAAGATGAAAAGATGATGAATTAAGAAGTTTAGGATTTGAGAGAACACAAACAGTGGATACACGTGAGTCATTGCAAACGTTTTTCAGCCATATCGTTCAGGGATAAACTATACGCACTAACTAATCGTTATCATAAATATCTGGTTAGCTATAACAAACAGAAGATCTGAAAATGTATGACAATGAATACAACGTGTTATCCAGGAGTTGGGGGAAATAAACACCACGTTGACTTATAGTTTGTACATAAAAAAACACTACACTTTAATAATGGTGAAGTTATGTTATTTACTCAATATAATTTCATGACAGTTTACAGCTGATTACGGCAGGCTACATTTTCTTAATTTAATTCAATCAGTTTAAAATCACTCTCAATCGCATTATTCATGTCATGTCTTTCTTTCAATCTAACACAAATTAACCAATCATCTTTCATGAATCAATCAACCAATAACTAATGTGAACGCATATTAATTCAGTAACATCTACGTTTGTCACCTGTCAAAATGACCAAAATTCACATTGAAAAATAAATTTATCTCGTGAATTTTTTTTTCCTTCAGAAAACCATCATTGACTGATGAATTTATTAATTTGAGAATACAGTAAAAAAAATTATTTTTCCATAAATCATTCTCTGATTTAAAGCCAGTAATAATAATGATCAGTGAAAAAAATAATAATGATGATGAAGAAATAATCTCTGAATCGAATTCATTGTTAAATATTGTTGACATACCGCATCCGAATAATTTATCAAAAAAATCAATACCGGATCATGAAATTATTCCATTGGATTGTAATAATACCTATCATCATACTAAAACCAATAATATGCATGATAATACTATGAACAAATGTAAACAATTTTTAAATGTGAATTCCAGTTTCGGTCTGTCATCATTATCTAAATTAGATAAAATGACTCGACCATCTTTGAAAAAATTACATAAATTGCATTCTACTACTACTACTACTAGTACATCACCAAATGAATCAGAAAAAAAATCTACACCGACAAATGAAAATGCATCACGTCGTTGGAAAAAAGTTCAATGTACAATGAAAGTGGTGCTTGGTTCAATGGATCAAGCTAAATTGAAACGTAAATCACATAATCATGATTTATCACGTAGAGATTCATTTATGTATCGTTTTTCAACACAACGTCGTGGAACATACTACAATGATGATGATTATTTGTCTGATACAAATTATGATTATTTATTTTTGGATAAATATCCTTTACAGAAATTCGATAATTACGATTGTATCCCAGAAATCGATAATAATAATAGTAATAATAATAACGATAATAATTTTGATAACAATGTCAACAACAATGACGAGAAACTGTCAAATGCTAAAGATGATTTGACTGAAAAAATCAATATTGACGATATTACTAATAATGATCATCATAATCAAACAGAAGATTTGACTACAACACCTATGATTTCAGAAAAAGATACACATTTAAACAAAAACCAATCTCATCCATCTACAATAAAAGATGACATGTTCTATTTGGACACATCAATTTTAACAAATAACAACAACAGCCACAATAATCCTATTAATGACAATTTTCTCAAGCATAAATCAAGTATTGAAACAATTAAAAGTGATAAATTCAATAAAGATGAATATGAGAAAAATTTGACACTGTTAAAAAATTATCGAAAATCCCATTTATGCATTGTTTTCTATCCAAATAGTACAGGTTATATAATATGGTTAACATTTGTCTCGTTAGCGTTGTTATATAATTTATGGACACCGATTGCACGTCAAGCATTTGATGAATTACAATTTAAATATCAAACTATTTGGTTATCATTTGATATATTGGCTGATATTATGTATTTAATTGATATATTTGTACAATGTAATACAAGTTATTTAAAATGTGGTTTAAAAGTACAAGAACATGATAAATTGATTATACGTTATTTAAAATCATATAAATTCTTATTAGATATTTTATCATTATTTCCATTGGACTTGTTACAATTCAAAGTTGGTATACAACCAATGTTAAGATTTCCAAGATTTCTGAAATGTTATCGATGTCAAGAATGGAAAGTACGTGTAGAGAATAGAACAATTTTTCCAAATATATGGAGAGTATTTAATTTGATACATATATTATTTTTAGGATGTCATTGGTTTGCTGCATTCTATTATTTAATATCAAAATATGAAGGTTTTAAAAATCCATGGGGTTATCAACCGTACACTGATGCAGAACAAGTAACAATGTCAAGAAGATATTTAAAATCATTTTATTGGGCTACTTTAACATTGACCACGATTGGTGATTTAAGTTCACCATCGAGTAGTATAGAGTGAGTAAAAAAATTTCGATTGTGTTTTTGGTTTTTTTATTTTTTTTAAAAATATCGTTATTATTATTATTATTATTGTCGCTTGTAAATCATGAATTGATCAGGGTTAAAACAAAATTAGAAATCTAAAAGCATTGGATGGCCATTTCATCCTGTGACTTGCAGAAGTCGTCGATGAGCACTGCTGATAAGTCTCATACCAGGACGAAACGGTCATTCAGTGCTTCCAGGTTCGTAATGGTGATTTAACAATGATTAAATAACTCATCAATCGCCTAAAGTATTTTCTCTGTATTTCCTTGTAAATTTACAAAATTAGCTTAATGTGTGAATTATGGTTTCTCGAAAATTATCGCCCGATTTAAAGTATAGTGTTAGTTGAAAGAGTATTATAATGGATGAGATGATGTATACGTAAACAATATGTGAGTATTAGTCAAATTTTAATGGCTTTTGTTTCTTGAGAAATGATTTTCATTGAATTGACTAATTTTACTTGTTCGTGAATCGTTTTGCAATAAAGATTTTCGGTGAAATTGTACACTAGGCAAAAATGCTCTCATTAAATACCTCGTTATTGATATTAAGTTCTTGCATTTTCTTTTTATAGATAACCCTTTTATTTCTGTTTATTTAATGCTGTATCCTCAATACTCAATGTTGCTTAATTTTAATGCAAAAATATTATTTTGTTGGTTATTTGGTTATTTACTGTGTGTCAGTGAATTATTTTAACTTTGGCTGATGCATATCTAATTCATTTTAGAGTTATGAAGGTTGTTGTTTTAAATTGAAATCATGAACAAGTCACTGTTAGATTACCATCAGAAACCTGGAAGTACTGGACGGCCTTTTCGACCTAGTATGGGACTCATCAGTAGTGCACTCCCACGACGCCCACGCGCGAGAATCCAACACAAGACCTTCGATCTTGAGCGCGAAAACAGTCTTTAAACTATTGAGCTGACATCCAACAGTGCTAATGTCTAACATTGACCAATCCAAGGATTTTGCGCAACGTTACTTATTATCTGTGGTGTGCAGCTGCTTACGCCTGATCCTGTTGAACTTCACTGACCACGGCTGCTCAGTAGAACGAAGCTAGTCACGAGCGTGCAAAATTAGATATTAACATCGTTGAATGCTGACTTAGTGGTTTAGAGTTAGACTTTCGCTCACAATACCAAAAAGTTTGTTGAGGATGCGCGCAGCTGAAGAGTCCTGCACTGGAACGAAACGGCCATCCAGTGCTTCTAGGTTTATAATAAAAGTCTAACAATGATTGATTCACGTTTTCAATGTAGTATATCTATGTCACTATCTATGTTGATTATAACTGACTGAATGAAATATTTTAACAGGTTAGACAAAAGATGAAAATAAGGTTAACATAATTTATTATTATTTCAACTTCTAAGTGTATTTGTTTCAACAAATTAAATAAAGTTGGATAAGTTTAAGTTTTAATATTAAAAAAAACTGGAATGATGAAAAGAAAACCTAGATCTATGATGTTTTTAGTGATATTAAATGAGGATTCATTTCCAGTCATAGTATACTCAAAGCAAGCCGACTTCAAAATAACTGAGATTTTTCAGAAATTTATTTTTTCTATTGTACACTATTGTGACTTATGTTCATCAGTGATTAATTTATATTCGTGGAATTTTACTTATTACAAGTCTAAAATATTCCATGGTCTGATATATCTAGAAAGACATGAACTCAACTGTAGTAACGCATACAGTATAGTTCTTTCCTTTGTAGTGATTGAACTTTAATAATGTCACCCTAGTCTAAACTGTTCGACATTACAGTATACCTGTTCGAAAATATATGTTTGTTTGAAAGTATCAGAAAGCTAGATGCATCATTTTCGTAATAGAGAAAGACTTATTCAGCAAATGTACTAAAAAAGGTTTGATAAAATTGACACTCAGTGTGTTATGTAGTGTTTTAGACAAAGAAATACTTGTCAAGCTTTTCAAAACTCAACTTATCTCTTATCTGACTGAAATGCGTGTGTATAATTAATGAATCAATCAAGATTAAAAAATCATGATGACAAAATATCTAGTAATTAATGATAATCCGATTTTGTTGATTTAATCTAAAATCCAATGGATATTTATTTTAAGCGTTTGGATTATCTCGTTTTTGATGTTAAACATTTTAACTAATCAGTTTCTATTTTGGAATATAGACATCATGAGAGCGAATTGATGCGATGTAAGAAGTTGAAATGTCGCTAATAAGAAAATCCAGGATTAATAAGTTCTACTGTTAATGTTCTCTGATTAAAGCTTAGGGCTAAAACTTGTCAATCTAAAAATTTACTACTCCACTGACTGACTTAGTCCGATAGTCATTAACTATGATAGTTCTATGAAAAGTCTATCAATGTTATGCTTCCTTTCAATCAATATGGCTGTTCATTTGTTAGTGAAGATGATTTAATTGAATAACTCTACCAAACATTATTTATTGATTGAGAAAAAAAATTAAACACCACGATAGACATGAAAGAAAGCTTAAGTTTTAATGTTTTTTTTTATGAAAAAAATTTAAAAAACTTACTGTAGAGGATTTTTTTAAATAATTATATTTAACTGATTTGCATAATTCATCAGCGGTAGATAAATTCAATTTATTTCATCTACCTGAAGTTTTCGATTTTATTGTATTTCTCAAATTTCACTCTCTTCAATGAGATGTACAGATTGAATACATTTTAAATGGTAATCATACAATCTGTATAATAGTAGAGTGTATTTACTGTCATTCATGAAAATAACCATGAACTCTTATAAGGGACGAGTGTACTGTGAAGCAGTTCGCTCCGTCCTACTATACAGATGCGAGACTTGGCCGTTAAGAGTAGAGGACTTCCGTAGGTTACTAGTCTTCGATCGTCGAGGTCACCGAAGCATCGCTCGTGTATCGTGGGACAACCGTATAAGCAATTCTGTCGTTAGGAAACGAGTTTTAGTTAGAGATGGCAAATCAATAGAAGAATTATTGAAACTTCATCATTTGAGGTGGTTAAGAAATGTGTTACGTATGGCTAACCACCGACTGCTGCGAAGAGCTATGCTTTGCAGTGTAGGAGTAGATTGGAAGAAAACTAGGGGCGGCCAAAACAAAACATGGCAGAAATTTATGAAATCACTGACAAGTTGACTGAATCATGTGATAGATGTAGACTACCTAGTTGGGGTCCGCGAGACGATAGTCACCAATGGTTAGAGACCTTGAACGACGTGGCTCAGAATCGTTTGCAATGGCACAGGTGCATCCACTCTTTGTGTTCTATGAAATTCTAACCTTCTGAATTCCTTATAATCTCTGCCTTTCTCCTTCTAAATTTATCCTACTGAATTATACTTCTCAAATCATATCTTTGCTCGCTAATCTTCTCCATTACTTCTAATACTTCTATTTACGCTATCACTCTTGGATTTGAACTGACAGTTGCGTCTGTGTGCTGATGTGATATGGCAACGTGAACTGATGTACTTACGTACGAAGTTCTGCGTTGTGTCTGTCTGTCTATGAATTCTTATACTGATTGGTATTCAATACAAATAAAATATAATTCTGACAGTTCAAATGATAAGATTTTGAAAGACTAAATTATTTTTTATAAAGATCGATAAGTTGTAAAGTGGGAAAGTTCAAATCTAGTAATGAAAACTTAATGAGTACAGTGTAGAAATTTGAGGACACTAAGATGTTTCCTAAATATGATGAATTCCCACAGAGATGAACATTTTTGTTAAAGGTCACTTCAGAAAGAAAAGCGGATTCCTATTGCAGGTGTTTCAGAATAAACTGAAAACAATGCAGAAATTTTTTACACTAACTGTACTTAGTTTCGGTCAAGCAGTTTCCTGTCGATTTACATTTACACTCTCATGTTGTTAAAAGTGTATTTCTTGATGTTTATCTAGCTCTCCTTTTGTATCAATAGTTGAAAAGTGTTTACTACCTGCTCACCTCTTACTAACTACTACTCTTCATGATCATTTCCTGACTATCCTCCCTCACTAGCCTTATGTTTGATACAATCTGAAAGCGGTGGCACTGATTAACATTTACAAGATGTCATCTGATTATTGTTTTAAAAACATGAGTTTTAACCACTGATCGAAAATTTCACTGTTGGAAACCATTGTTATATCGTAAGTGTGTGTTAAAATGATACTTCTTCATTGTGTCCAGATATCTGCCAGTAAATCTGATAGTCTATGAGATGTAGTTAAAACTTTAACATCAAAAGCGAAATAAATACTTTTCGACTGGATTCCAGTCAGTATTGATTTGTGAAATGTCTGAAAGAGTTAAACTGTAATATTACAGGGAGGGTATGAAGTGTCAATCATTTTGGCAGCTATTGTCCATCAAACTCGTCACCGGATAAATGCCGAAGGAATTTCAAAAAGATTTTTAAAAAATTCATAGTGACATAAAAAAAACTTAAATAATTATTTAGACTACTTGACGAAACCTTAAGTAGAAAAGTGATTTACTCTCAGTTAGCTAAAACAATGAAAGATTTTGAAAAGCAAGCTAAAGACTTGAAATATTCTACAAAGACCTTGTACTGAGTTGAATGAGAAGTTGATATTGGGGCTTCTAATTTTTTTTAAGGTTAAGAACAGTATAGATAACTTACAGAACAAAATACTAAAATACTAGATTCTAATGGACTGCATCAAATGTCTTGACGAATTATCGTTGAGTTACTTTAGAAAGACTAGATTGGGTCTGGCTATTCTTAACTTATCATTGGCCCAGTTAATAAGAAATGACAAAGTTTCTTGTGATAATTAAGGAACCATTTTGAACAGTAAATATATATGTTCTAGTTTCCATGAGAGATATGAGATATTTAACTGAAGTGTGAAAACAATGAATTCAGAGAAATCAACTAAGTTTCTAAAAGATTTAGAAAAGCCTAAGTTGTATTACTTGACATGGAAGCTACATCTGACGATATC